ACACCACGCTGTAGCTAGGCAACCACACTCAGGAGCAGAGCATTATGGGATACTCCTGGGAAATGTGCTGATAATGTCAACATTGGGGCATCTATGAGGGAGCGTCTACAAAGAGTTTTACCTTTTAAAACACACAAATTCTCCTTTTTCACATTCTGCAAATATTCCCTGCATGTGTAGTCGGTTTAGCGGGAGATGTGACCAACGTCTGGCATTCACTCTGGTGGTGTTTTCGCTGGATTAGCTGACTGATGCACTCACATTATTGTCACTGATAGCTGAATTTCCCAAATGCTCAGGCCAGTGACTCATGCTGTGCATCATCAGCGCTCGATAAGACCACTAAAGAGGTGTCATTGTGAAAAACTCCCTCCTTCACACGCTAGGAAGCCACACACTGTATGTATCAGTCAGATTGCCGTTTCAGTGTTTTGTGTGTAAACAGGACATTAATAGCCATGTCATTGTGTTTGCGCTGCACCAGCATGTGTGTGAGTATGAGCTGTCCCTCGTGGAGAAGTGTGTCACGGTCTGGTATTCTTCTGTGTGTCCTGTGGACCCCACGCGTTGGTGTGTTAGCGGACATACGCAAATGTAGCAGGAGTGGCGAGGCAGCGAAGCAGGATATCCCCTCTCTGTCTTACAGACTTCCTTTGCTTCTCTGGCAAACACACACAGATCCTTCCTCACCCGTCCTCTTCCTCCTCTTCTCACTTTCTTCGTTGACTTGCTTTCTGGGCTATAACTTGGGGTCGGGTCTCCCCTTGTTTTGACTTGCTCTGTTTTTCTGCATCTTCTATTCTCAATCACACTTCGTCATTTTCTTCTCACGTCCTCGCTCCGTTGTTGCATGCCTCATCTTCATAGCAACTTTTATTTTTACTCGTGAAAACAAACTCAAAACAAGAGGAACCAAGAGGGAGTGTGTGAGAAGTGAGAACACATGCCATCTGCTTCGCCTGAGTGGGAACTGTTCCTCTAAAAGTTTAGGGGTCTGCGTTACATGCAGTTGCACCTAGATCTGCAGATCTTTCCTCTTCGCAGTATTTTTCCTTTAAAGGTGGAAATTTTGTGCAAGTTTGTAAACATGAATATAATGTGGTGCACAGTGTCTGTGTAAGCGTGTCCTACTGGCTGCTTCACATCAGAGTACAGTGGCGGATCTGTTTAGAGATGCTAGGGCAAATATATTCATGCAAAGCACTGAGCCCGTTTCCTTCTGTCTGTGTCTATCTGCCTTTCTCTGCTTCTGTTTCACCCGGCGTTCAAACCATCCTTTCACTCTTCACACGTTATTCGTACTTGTCTCTCTTGCCTTTGCTTAACTTTGCTTAAAAGTCTCTTTATATTGGAATTAAACTGTTTGCCTGATGTCATAAGACGTTTCCCAAGGGTTCAGACACTGTGGTCAGCCTCCTCCACATACGCGACCACACACACACACACACACACACACACACACTGAATGTGTAGCCTACTGCTGAACACTGGCACTCATCACACTCTGAAACTGTCAGTGTCTTTGATGTCAGGCCAGATTGCTCAGGTCAGTTAGTCAGTGTGTGTGTGTGTGTGTGTGTGTGTGTGTGTGTGTGTGTGTATAGAGGGAGAGAATATACAGCATGTTTACACCAGCCATATAAAGGTGATTGGACTGTGGAGCCAGAGAGACCAGCACTGGAACAAACAAGTGGCTGTGTGCTGCCAACACTTTACCTGTGCATATATATGCTTTCAACAGCAATGACGCGTATCTGCACCACACACATCTGTACACCACAGACCTGCCTTGTATGTGGTCACTCACTAACCTTAATCCCTCATCAGGGAGGTATAAGAGCTGACGTCCAGCACCTATTAGCCTTAAATTACATTCCTCATTCGCACTGCTGGCCTGCTACCTGCCCCCAGAGCCCCCATAACTGTCTCCAGGCACCTCTGGCTTCAGTGTGGCATAACCACCTCAACATTGGCCCTTTATTAAAGTTTGCTGCCTCTAATTGATGGCTATAGCTTTTTCACAATAAAACATCCATAGAGTGTCTGTATTTTTGTATGTACTCAGCTACTGTATCACACACACACATGGTTTTTAGGCTAAGGGCGAGCACGCACACTAAGAGCCTGTCATTGTCACTTTTAGTTTCGGCTGGCGCCAGTTTGGTTACTGATAAAAAAACGAGCCGTTATTTAAAGCGCCTCTCTAATACTGAGTTTGGAAAGTGTGCAAACAGGACGTTGCTTGTTTCCATTCGGGTTTAGTGTCAACTGATTTATGCAAATGTAACAGAAAACGGCCTGCTTGTTTGAATACTGCTCCCAACAGTTTGAGGCCTGATAACGTCATAGCTGCAGGCACTACTGCCTGCATATTACAGAAAATCGACATGCAGTAATGGTAATACGCCCAGACCCCAAACACTCCACTCTGAGAACCAGTTTTCAGACAGGATGCATTACAACGCAAAAATAAATGATGGCGCAAACAGCTATATTGATTGTTAATGGGTTATGATGGACTTGAAGTTCATTTTATAACCTGCTGTCATTATTACCTGTAATGGGGAATTAAAACAAATGACATCACTGTG